GCATGTACAGAGTGCACCTTTGCCAATGAGGAACTCCTCTATTTTAAAAGATCACAATACAGCAGTATTTCTTTATTTTTAACATTTTTTGATTCCTAGTAATGGTGACTGATGAGGATGATCAATTATTTATAAAAATAATAAATATTATTGTTTACTAGCTCAGTATCTTGTCCTTCCTGGGGTCTCATTTGCACTGTACAGTGGTACCTCGGGTTACATATGCTTCAGGTTACATATGCTTCAGGTTACAGACTCCGCTAACCCAGAATTAGTACTTCAGGTTAAGAACTTTGCTTCAGGATGGGAACAGAAATTGTGCTCCGGCGGCGTGGCAGCAGTGGGAGGCCCCATTGGCTAAAGTGGTGCTTCAGGTTAAGAAGAGTTTCAGGTTAAGTACAGACCTCCGGAACGAATTAAGTACCTAACCTGAGGTACCACTGTACATTTAAAGAGGTAACATGCCTGTCACTGGGTTCCCCCAAAGAATCCTAGGGACTGTAGTTTGTTCAGGATGCTGAGAGTTATTAGATGACACCCCAACCCCCCCCCATACAATGCCCAAAGTTCTCTGCGAAGAGGGATTGATTGTTTAACTGTAGTTCCAGTTCCACAGACTGATGTGGTTGATATGGTTGGGCATATCTGTAGTAAGGCAATTGCTCAGGTAAACTGGTCACGAGCTATTAAGGGCTTCTTGATAAAGAATAGTTGCGCACCTTTCTATTGCCAAGAGAGCACTAAAATTGATAGATTCCGCCTGTTCCATTTAAAATAAAAAATCATAGCCCCACAGCATATCTCAGCTCTGTCCTTCCCATCTCCTCTTTCTGGTATTTGGAGAAAAGCTAAAACTTTAGCATCACTGCAAATACATGTTGACTTTTCTTTTTTCATTTGTGCTTGTCTTTAGCCTTAGCTTTTTCTTTGGTAGGGTGTGTGGATTTTCATGTATATATGTAGGTAGTACTTTTTATGTATATATGTAGGTAGTACTTTGACTGTCATGAAGGATTGCAATGATACGAGCTTTAACAGTGAAAAAGGTGGGAGAACTGTGTGCGATTTAGAAGCTGCGTTTATTCCGAATTTCCATCCAGTTTGTTTGGTTGAATTGTGTGAGTTGCTGAAGCATTCTGTGGCTGTTTACATTTATATCGAGTTCTGCTCGTGTGTCCTCATTACCCCCCCTTTTAAAAAAAGTATATGTTTCTGAACCTGTTGGTGATTGAAACAAAAAATTCAAACTGAGAACAACTGCAGCCATACACCTTGATGCAGCTAAAATACACTTCAAGCTGGAGTTTGCAAACACCTTTTTTTGCATTTATGCTCATGTTGGGAATCTTAAATTCCAAGCTCCTCCACCATTTTGCCTGTTGCAGTTGGGCCACTGGCATAAAGAGCTTCTCCATAAAACCTTTTTACTGTACTTTCCTTCTAGGCGAGTGTAATCTGCCTCGAGTTTGGCATAGTGTTAGAACGTGTGCCGATTATCTCGGTTAACCGCATATCATATCTAGAGAGAAGGGCAGTGTCCTTGTTTCTGTGCTGCCTGAAATACCAGCAGCTACTGAGAAGCCTGCAAGTTTCTCTTTGAAATGGCTGGAGCTTTGAAGGGTGAAATAGTTCTCCACTGAGCATGCTCACTTTAGAGGGAGCTTTAATCACATGAGCAGCAACTGAATGAGGATCTGGTTGAGTCTTCCTCAAAATAAGAAGACATTTGCTGTGTTGACAGGTACAGTATCTTGTCACTTCAACCCTTTCCTTGTGCCATCAGTAGTAGATTCCTTCCTCTTGCAAGAATACTGCCAGCTGCTAAAAGGAGGGAATCTTGGACGCAAGATTTAAAAGATGATCATGGCTGGATTTAGTTACTGTATTTTTGTACTGTCCGTTCCCCTACTCAAGAAGTGAAACAGCAGAGCAGAATGCTGCCTCTTGCAAATCAGTGCAGGATATTTTAATGGTGTCTGGGACTTGGGTTTTAGGGTTAAGGAGGATGGAGTGTCTGGAGAGTATCATAGTAAAATTACCTGCTGGACTTTTGTTGTTGTTGCTGCTGCTGTTCAGTAGAATGGTATTTATGGTTGAGTGAAAAAGTACCAGTTTTAGAATGGTTGTGCTGAAATTCCGTAAATGATTGCGATTTTACGTTTTCCTGCCTCATTTAATGTACATTTTTGGGGGAGTGAGGGAGAGGGCTGGGAAGGAGTCTGTTAACAAGAAGTTATAAACTATTCCTTAAGCATGTTGTTTCTCACTGGGATGGCCAGTTTTGCCCTCAAACCCTTTAACACACACACACACACACACACACACACACGGATAATGGGAGGTTTGAGTCTCTTGGAGGACTGGGGAGGGGAAAATGGCCAGTAGTTTGATTTTCACTTGCCTGATATGAAGTGTTTAAAAAACAACAACATTTCTTTGTGTCAGGAATACCCATAGTTGTGTGTTCGGAACAGTGTGATGTAGACCTGGTGTCTTTGCTTTGAGAAAGAGCAAGCCAGGTATCAGTGGGGCTTGCCTTCTCTGGGGCAGGTGGCGTAATATCTCTAATCAAGGTGAAAGGCCCAAGCATAGAGAGCTATGTACAAGGTGTGACCGGAAAGTTCAGTGAATGGTCACAGAAATCGGACAGCGAGAAATATTTGAACATACATTCGGCATCAGAAACCCATGAAATACTCACAATTGTGTATGGAGATAAAGCTGTGACTTGAAAGACAGTGTATGAGTGGTTTAAGTGTTTCTGTGAAGGGCGGCAAACCATCGAAGATGGCCCTCAGTCTGCCAGACAGTTGATGAGCAGAACGGCGGCAAATGTCAACAGAGTTTGTTAGTTATTGATGTGGGATTGGCGTTTGTCCGTCCAAATGGTGGTGGAAGAATTGCATATTCCGCGTGAAATTGTTACTGAGGTTGCTGAGTTGTCCCACCCTCCATATTCTCCTGATCTCGCCCCACCGGATTTCCCCACCGAATTGGGGAGTCGGAAGGAACCCCAAGTGTCATTAGTCCAATCCCCTGCAATGCAGGAATCTCAACTATATCATGCATGACATTTGGCCATCAAGCCTCTGCTTAAAAACCTCCAAGGAAGGAGAGTCTACCACCTCTTGTGGGAGTCTCTTCCACTGTTAAACAGCTCTTACTGTCAGAAAGCTCTTCCTGGTGTTTAGTTGAAATTTACTTTCTTGTAACTTGACTAGGGCTGGGCAATATCTTGATTTACAGTCCAAAACCGGTTTGAAGTCCATATTATGATGTCAGTTTCGTAATTTTTGACCTGGCAATATATCATGAATCATGACATGTGTGTGTGTGTTTGCATGCATTGCGAAAACCACAATGCAGGGAAAAACTGAAGCCAGCCAATACCTCGACATAGCTCCATCTTTATCATGATGTACTTCTGTTGATGTAGCCTAGAATAGCATTTCTTTTTGCTGCTGCATCACATTGCTAACTGATGTTATGTTTGTGGTGTGCTAAGACCCTAGATCATTTTAACATTAGGCACAGGTATGCTTCCTAAGTCTAGAACCTGAGATTTGTCCCTGTTGAATTACATTCTGTAGCCAGTAAACCAATCTATGGTTTTGAGGGAAACATTTCCACACACATTTCATTTATATTCTTGCCTTGTTTAATGGTTTCATGATCTGTCCATATGATCCGCAAGTCTATCTTTATAATCTTTTATAAATATTTTTTTATTAAATTTTACAATTTTATCATCATCACAATCATTATTTCAAAAACAAAATGCTTTATAAATCCTCTGCCTGCCCCCCCGTGACTTCCTTCAACTTCCTTTTCTGGTTTTTTTTTGGCATATTATTCACACCCTGCTTATTGGTTAATTCTTACTCTTCTTCACCAATCATTTTAACATCTTATTTCTATTTCTGCATTTTGTAAATTGCAAGTGTTTAATCAAACCCTGCAAGTGAGTCCATTTCTTCCCATTGATTCTGTATATAAAACATAAATTGTTCCCTGTCCTTCTTAAAATCTCTATTGCCTTTATCTCGAAGTCTTTCTGTTACTTTTGCCATTTCAGCGTATTCCATCAGTTTTCCTTGCCATTCTTCTTTAGTTGGTATTTCAGTGCTTTACCATCTTTGTGCTAGCAATATCTTGGCTGCAGTTGTAGCATACAGTTTTTTCCTCTCTTTCGGCAAATCTTGACCTGAAATGCCTAATAATAAAGCGTCTGGATTTTTCACAAAAGTTATCTTCAATTCATTGTAAATCATTTCCCAATATTTTTAAATTCATTTACAATTCCATGACATATGAAATAACTCTTTTTCCTTACATTTCCAACACTTTTGGAACCCGTTTTAAACATTTTTTTGCCATCTATACATCATTTTCATTTCTCTTTTAGCAGTATACAGGCAGCAAGTTTTAAAATCACTTTCCATAACTTTTCCCAGTCTTCCATTTGTCCAATATCTTGTGCCCACTTAATCATTACACTTTTCACCTCCTCATCTTTGGTTTCCCATTCTAATAAGAAATTATACATTTTCTTTAGAAGTTTGGTATTCTCATTTATAATTTCTCTTTTGAATCTAGATATGGTGTAACTAAATCCTTTCTTATTGTCTTCTTTAAAAAGCTTGTTTATTTTACGATATTGCAACCAGTCATAAACATAATCTTTTATATCATTAAACTCCTTAAACTTTTATTTCCCTTCTCTCTCTTCTAGTAGATCCCTATATGTGGGCCATTCTCTTTCCATATTTATTTTTTGAATTGAGATTACTTCTAATGGAGATACCCACCATGGAGTCTTTTGTTCTAATAGGTCTTTGTATTTTCCCCATACCTTTAAAAGTGACTTCCTAATTATATGATTGTAAAACGCTTTATGAACCTTCCCTTTATTATACCATAAATACACATGCCATCCAAATCTGTTATCATGTCCTACCAGATCTAACAAATCTGTATTCTCTAATTTGATCCAATCCGAGATCCAAGTAACACAGGACGCTTCATAATAACATTTAAAATCCGGAAGGGAGAATCCTCTTCTATCTTTATTGTCTGTAAGTATTTTGTATTTTATCCTTAGTTTCTTCCCTTTCCAGATGAATATTGAGATAGCTTTTTGCCATTTTTGAAAGCATATTGTACAACTTATAAACAGTATTGTCTGGAATAAAAACATTGTTGGTAATACGTTCATCTTTATTCCCGTAATTCTACCTATCTTTATAATTTTGAGCTTGTCATCCAGCAAGGGAGACGTGTGTTTTTTCCAACCAGAAGAATTTAAAAGAGCTATGTGAAATACACTTTGGAATGGAAAAGAACTTTAGCATAAGTAAACTATCCTTGAATATGATTTTTTTTTTCCTTAGATGGTTGCTGGTCCTGGGCCTAGGACCGTACCTTCAGATGCATTTGATGTTTGTAATGCTTTTCATGAAATGAGCTTTATTACTGATGACTGTTGTAGAAAATTTGATTTGGTCATATTTAAAAGTCCATTCTCAATGCCTTCCAACAGACAAATTATTTCATTTTGCAGAACTGAATGGAGAATGTTGAATAACCACAATTAGAAATAATGCATTTACTGTTAATTGCACAGTTAAAAGGTGTAATTAGTTATCTTTATGCTACTTTCCATTGGTTTTGCCAGCATTGTGTGAGCTGCACAAGTATAGAAGAAAAGATACGTTTCAGTGTATAACAAATAATGCACTTAACTTTTTTTAAAAAGTTTCTAATCTAGTTTCTCAGCTGCTTATGTGGGGTTTGTGAACACACACACACACACACACACACACACAGTGCTACCTCGGGTTACATACGCTTCAGGTTACAGATTCCGCTAACCGATAACCCAGGAATAGTACCTCGGGTTGAGAACTTTGCTTCAGGATAAGAACAGAAATTGTGCTCCGGCGGCGTGGCAGCAGCAGGAGGCCCCATTAGCTAAAGTGGTCTTCTGGTTAAGAACGGACCTCCGGAACGAATTAAGTTCTTAACCCAAGGTACCAGTGTGTGTGTGTGTGTGTGTGTGTGTGTGTATGTGTATATATATATATATATATATATATATATATGCTTTCGTAGATTTTCACGGGTACAGGAATGCAGGTTTTGGTGTCCTCGGGTGTCTTCCCGTGTAAAAGTTGGGGTGTCTAGGCGACGTTTCGACGAGGTCTCACTCGTCATCTTCAGGCTGGTGCTTTCGGCTTCTTGTTACTGGAACAGGGCAGGATCTCAGTGTTTGAGTTCCTATAAATACTGTTGAGGAGGTGTGGTGTATAGCCTCCAATGTTCTGGGCAGAGAGGAAGTTCCCAGGCTAGTGTGCCTTTTCTTCTTTTGTTCCTTAATTACTGGAGGGATATCTGGAGTGATTTCTTGAGTGATATCCTGAGTACCACTTGGGTGGGTCATTAGGTGTGGATTAGTTGCTAAAGCCTTCGTGTCTTGACCTCTTGAACTTGGCTTGAACTTGGCTCTGGCTTGGCTTCGTGTATAGGGGCGAGCTGTGGTTTTGTGGCCTGTGCCAGCCAGATCTGTGTAGGGATTGCAGGGGGGTGCAGTATCCGGAGGTTCCACCATGGTTTGGCTACTGGATGGTGTCTGTAATTTATCTGTGGAGAGGGTCTGGGTTTGGGTCTGGTGTGGTTGATTGGTGATGGCGTTCTGTGTGCCTCTGGATCTGGTGTCGGTTTTTGTGGGGAGGGCTAATTTCCAGATGTCTGGCAAGCGGGATGTGTCGTCACGCTTGTTCATGTTGTGAGGGTGTTTCTCTATCTCGATGGCTTCCATGATTATTCTCTTGTGGTGATGTTCCATGTTAAAGAGCAATTTGGAATCTGCAAAATTAATTTCGTGTCCTGTTTCTTTCATGTGTTGGAAAAGAGAGGAAGTTTTTTCTTCTTTTTTGACGGCATTCTTGTGTTCTGCGATACGTGCATTTATTCGTCTGTTTGTTTGTCCAATGTACGTGGCTGGGCAGACTTTGCAGGGTATTTCATAGACCCCTTGGTTTTCCAACTGGATTCTATCCTTGGGGTTTCTGAGGATATTGGCTATTTTTTGGTTGGTGCAAAAGGCTGTTTTGATATTGTGTTTATGGAGGATTTTGCTAATTTTATCTGTAGTGCCCTTGATGTAAGGAAGGAGGGCCATGCCATTGTTTTCTTCTGTGTCTTGGTTTTTGGGGGGTGTTTCTTTTTGGATTAGCTTCGTAACCCTGTTTTGCTGGTATCTCCGGATACTGCACCCCCCTGCAATCCCTACACAGATCTGGCTGGCACAGGCCACAAAACCACAGCTCGCCCCTATACACGAAGCCAAGCCAGAGCCAAGTTCAAGCCAAGTTCAAGAGGTCAAGACACGAAGGCTTTAGCAACTAATCCACACCTAATGACCCACCCAAGTGGTACTCAGGATATCACTCAAGAAATCACTCCAGATATCCCTCCAGTAATTAAGGAACAAAAGAAGAAAAGGCACACTAGCCTGGGAACTTCCTCTCTGCCCAGAACATTGGAGGCTATACACCACACCTCCTCAACAGTATTTATAGGAACTCAAACACTGAGATCCTGCCCTGTTCCAGTAACAAGAAGCCGAAAGCACCAGCCTGAAGATGACGAGTGAGACCTCGTCGAAACGTCGCCTAGACACCCCAACTTTTACACGGGAAGACACCCGAGGACACCAAAACCTGCATATATATATATATATATATATATATATATATATAATGGATTGTGAAACCTCTAAAGCAAGCAGGAGGGCACTTAGTAGAAATTGTAGTGAGCAGGATCACATTGTTCTGTGTAACTCCTTGCTCCTGCCTATGACTACCAAGCAGTTTCACATTCACCTTTTCTTGGCAAAGAGCAAGGATCACTGCCACAGAAGTGTAAACATGGCCATTGGTATTTAATTATCAAGAAAATCTTGTATAGGCCACCTTTTGAGGCATAGCTTGCTCATGGTTGATTGTTGTTTAGTTGTTCAGTTGTGTCCGACTTTTCGTGACCCCATGGACCAGAGCACACCAGGCACTCCTGTCTTCCACAGCCTCCCGCAGTTTGGTCAAACTCATGCTGGTAGCTTCAAGAACGCTGTCCAACCATCTCGTCCTCTGTCGTCCCCTTCCTTGTGCCCTCCATCTTTCCCAACATCAGGGTCTTTTCCAGGGAGTCTTCTCTTCTCATTAGGTGGCCAAAGTATTGGAGCCTCAGCTTCAGGATCTGTTCTTCCAGTGAGCACTCAGGGCTGATTTCCTTCAGAATGGAGAGGTTTGTTCTTCTTGCAGTCCATGGGACTCTCAAGAGTCTCTTCCAGCACCATGATTCAAAAGCATCAATTCTTCGGCGATCAGCCTTCTTTATGGTCCAGCTCTCACGTCTATACATCACTACTGGGAAAACCATAGCTTTCAACAGTATATCTTGGAAATTTATGAAAAAAACCATAAAGTTAATGGGATCAGGAGAAACTTTTAGCAGAAGCGTCGAAGCATTTTTCCAAATCAGAAAGCAAAACTGATCATAAACAACGAAATACCTGACAGCTTCAATATAAAGAAAGGAAGTAGACAAGGCTGTCCATTATCCCCATTGCTATTTATTGTAGTCCTGGAAATATTGACAATGATAATTAGAGAAGATAAGGAATTAGAGAAGATTAGAGTTAAAAGGAATAAGAATAGGAAAGAAAGGCTTTAAATTAAAAGCATATGCAGATGATTTAGTAATAACAGAAGGCCCATTTGAAAGCTTACCAAAAATCTTAGAAAGAACCCACGAATTTGGCCAGGTAGCAGTATTTAAATTGAATATAGATAAAGCTAAGTTCTTGGCTAAAAAATATGAAGGATCAAGATAAATTACAATTGCAGGCATCGCCTGGTCTATCAATTATCAAAAAAATTAAATATTTAGGAATCTGGATCACTGCGGAAAGCATAAATTTATATAACAACAATTACATTAGGACATGGAAAGAGATGAAAAGAGAATTATTAATATGGAACAGATTGAATCTCTCATTTTGGGGGAGAATTTACACAATTAAAATGAATGTGCTGCCCAAAATGTTGTTCCTATTTCAGGCGATCCCAGTAATAGGCAGGGCAGGATGCTTCAAAGAATGAAGAGACACTTTTCAAATTACATCTGGCAGGGCAAAAAGCCCAGAATAAAACTTAAGTTACTTAATAGACATTAAAGAAAGAGGAGGCTTTGCCTTGCCAGATTTGAAGATCTATTACGAGGCATCATGTCTATGCTGGTTAAAAGAATGGTTTTTTTGAACTATATAATAGCACTATACACAGTATGGGATAAATACAAAGGCCTATTGGAACAGAAAACTCCCTGGTGGCTTTCACCGTTAGAAGTCATTTCGGTAAAGAAAAAAAAGCATGAAAAAGAATTGGGCAACCTATAAAGAATTATTGAAAGAGGAGGCAAATCAGTTGACGTTAAAGAAATTTGAAGAAATTAGGCATTATGTGATAGACTGGCTGCAGTATCATCAATTGAATGAAACCTTTAAATTAGATAAGAAAAATTCAACAGAAAATTCAAAGCTAGAAAAAGTATTAATACAAAATAAAAGCAAAGTGTTATCCAAAATGTAGAGATTATTATTTGATTGGGAAGTAAAAGATGAAGAGGTAAAAGAAGTCATGATTAAATGGGCAAAAGACTTTAGGCATATGATACAGATGGATGCATGGGAAAAATTGTGGACCAGAGATTTAAAATTTACGGTGTGCTACAAGCTAAAAGAAAATGTTATGAAGAAGTTTTACAGGTGGAATTTAACACCTAGTAAACTAGCAAAGTTGTACAAAACAAACTCAAATAAATGTTGGGGGGAGAGTAAGTAGGTAGAAGGAACACTTACATATGTGGTGGGGATGTAAGAAAATTAGAAACTTTTGGGATAGTATTTATGAAGAATTGAAAAAAATGTTCAAACAAACCTTTGTCAAAAAGCCCGAAGCATTTCTCTTTATTATCATCAGATATCCCAAGCGATAAAAGGAGGATATTTTTATAT